GCTCTGCATCCCTAAAATCCTCCGGCTCCATCGGGATCTGGAGCTCCAGGGGCTGCTCTCCAGGGCCATCCCAGGCCCGAGGCCAGGGCTGGGCCGGAGCAGAATTCCAGGGAGAGCTCAGTGCCAGGCTGGCAGCGGGAGCGGGCTCCCGGGAGCCGGCCCAGGGCTCGCTGCCATCCCGAGGGAGCCGCATCCCGTCTCCTCATCCAACCCCCCCGGCCAAGGGACGTGCGGATCCCGGAGCCACCTGTGACCTCACGGAGCAAAAATGTGCTGGAAAATCGCTGTGCGCCCGGGCAGGCCCTGCCAGGCAGCTGGGAGCAATTCCTGCCCCCGGCTCCTGCCGATGGAGCCGGGAATGCTTCCCTCCTCCCGCTCCTGGGGCAGCTCCCACCTGCTCCCGGCGGCTCTTCCCGCTCTCCGGGGAGCTCCCACCTGCTCCCGGCGGCTCCCACCTCCCGCAGCGTGTTGGGAAGGGGCCACACTGGGAAGGGGGGGGGGACACAGCCTGTCCCCCTTGGAATTCCCAGCTCCCGGAGGTGCCGGTGGGGGCTGTTGGATCAGGGAATTCTGCGTCTCCCGCAGCCCCACCTGTGGGGGCACATCCCTGCCTGTCCATCCATCCCATCCCATCCCATCCCATCCCATCCCATCCCATCCCATCCCACCCCATCCCATCCCATCCCATCCCATCCCACCCCGGGAGCCTCTTCCCTGCCCCGCCCGGCCCCGGCGGTGATGAGCTGGGACAGGAATGTGCGTCTGGAAGAGGCTCCCCGGGATCCGGTGGCAGCTCCGTCTGGGAGCTCCGGCTGCCAGGGAGCCGCTGCTGCTCCCGCCTTTCCCGCTCCGGGGAGAAAACCCGGAGCCTCCCCGGCCTCGGGCTGCTCCCCCCCCGGCTCCCGGCGCAGGTGGAGGTGATCCCCGGGACGTCGTTCCCTGTTTTCCCGGCTCCTTGTCCCCGCGTGACCGGGGTGGGGACGGCTTGGCCGCGGCCCCGGGAACCGGCGGAGTGCTGAGTGTTCCCACCTCATCCCGGGCTCCGCGGGACTCCTCCGGGGAGGAGGGGGAAGTTTTCCAGTTTTCCTCCCCGGGCGCCTCCCGAGTTCCGCACGAGTGTCCTGTGCGAGCGCTGCCGGAGGGGCCGGAGCTTTTCCGAGCCTCCTTCTCTCTCCAGCCGCGGGACTGGAAGCGCCGGCGTTGCCATGGCTGTCGGAGCCGAGCGATCCCAAAGCCCCCCTGGAATCCCTGAGCCCGGGTGGGCTCCCTCAGAGCGATCCCAAAGCCCCCCCTGGAATCCCTGAGCCCGGGTGGGCTCCCTCAGAGCGATCCCAAAGCCCCCCCTGGAACCCCTGCACCCGGGTGGGCTCCCTCAGAGCGATCCCAAAGACCCCCCTGAATCCCTGAGCCCGGGTGGGCTCCCTCAGAGCGATCCCAAAGACCCCCCTGAATCCCTGAGCCCGGGTGG